TGGCTCCAAATATGAGTACTGTTAGCTAAACTAAATTTATCTTTAAACACTTTTATAAAAATATTTTGATTAAGTAGGTAAATTTTCTAGAAATAAACCTGTATTCCATGTTTATCATAGTGGTAACTTCTGGTGTATAAGTCATTTACACTTAAGTTTACCATGGAGCCACAGGGAATGTATGCCATTAACAAGAGAGGTATTTATATCATGCTAGCGAAATGTGATCATTTTTAGACTACACATTTAGAAGGGTAAGGGACCTTCCCATCATTTTTTCGTATAAAGGGCTACTATTTTTATACAAGATGCACAAATAAAACTGATAAAGAAATACAATGAATTGCATCTTGATTTTATAAATGTCACTTGGTATTTGTGCTGAGCAGAGACATTCAGAATCTTAATTCCTAATATGAATCACTTTCTGTGAGTTTTCTTTAGAAAGAATATCTGTCTTCTAATGCTTCTATGCATTAGATAGACTCTTGGGAAAATCTGTTGACACTCTTTAGAGTATAGTCCTTTAAGAGATAAAGAAATGTATACATTTATGAAAGGAATACTAATAGGTACCATCAGCATTACGTTTGCTAGGGAAGCCAATTTAGGCTAAGCATGGTGGCTACTCCAGAGGTAAAATTGGGAAGATAGTCGTAAGAACAGCTTTGCAAAGGTTAGAAAAACCTCCTTCTCATGCAATCAAAGTTGGGTATGCATGCCTGTCATCTCAGCTTTGCAGGAAGAATAAACAGGATTGTGGTCCTGGCTAGTCAAAGCATAAACATGAGACCTTATCTGAAAATTAATGAAAGCAAAAAGTGCTAAGGGTCTGACTGAAATAGTAAAGCATCTATCTAGCAGGCATAACATCCTCAATTCAAACCCCAGAACTTAAAAGAAGCAAGTTCTACAGTTCTAATGCAAATGCTGAGAAATTAAAATGTGATACAATATACATGATGATGATTAGGGATATTGTTCTTTAGATTTTTATAACTTTATAAATTATTCCATGAGTTTATGTAAACAGGCAATAACAGCAAAGTAAAAACGACTTCCTTCCAGTTGTCAAAATTATGAGGCCAGTTTAAATTCTTTCCCCTCGATGGTTTTAACAAAGAGGATAAGCAGGCTAGATGTAAATACAGCGATAAAATCTAACTTTTTTATTTATATTTAATGAAAGTTGACAGTAAAATCTGTGCAGATGCTTGTGTATTAAGTACATGTTTTGTCAGAGATATACTTGGAGCAGTTACAGATTGGACTCCTTGTTTTGAATTTTGTTTTGTTTTACTATCACCATAATTCTGACTGTGGCTTTTATTGTTATTATCATCATCCATCAATAGGGTAGCTACCTTGGTAAAGTAGTAGATATTTTAGCAATAATGACTTCTCTAGTACCATTGGTAATATCTCACATTATAACATGGCAAGATGAAATTGTAGTTTAGCCATATAAAATGGACCAAACTTTATGTCTTTAGAGATAATATCTAAATTTTATTCAGATATTGATCTCTTTTAATATATAAATATTTATAATCACATTAGTGATTAGTTTTTCTCCTTTAATTAGTTTTTCTTTCTTTTATTTAGTTGTCTGGACATTCAGTAAGTAATCAAGAAGCAGAACATAATCTCACAGGATATGAAGATTATTTAAAATATATTTAAAAAATATTTGTCCTGAACTTACGTTTCTGTTGTCCATGTCTGTACCAGTATTCTCACATACCTCTTTTAATGTAAAGGGATCACACTTAAAGCTAGATGTGTTTATTTGCTCATGATTTTTAAGAAACTCATATCTTCTCATATAATTGCTACCATTTAACTGGTGAGCTAGCTAATAACTTAAGAAGTGAAGTCAAAATTATAAAATAAAATACATGTAAGCAAACAATCCATAAATGAAGGTAAAAATAATACCAATGAGAAAATATCATTCCGGATACCAGTGGCTCATACCTATAATTCTAGCTACTCAGGAAGCTGAGATGTGAAGATTACAATTCAGAGCGATCCCAAGCAGGAAAGTCTGTGATATACTTATCACTAACCAGTAAAAAGCTACATATGGAGCTGTGGCTCAAATGATATGTCTCCAGTTTCAGTGACAAAGCTAAGGGACAGTGCCCGTATCCTGAGTTTAAGCCAATTACTAGTGCACACACGCGCGCGCACACACACACACACACACACACACATCTTATATAAAGATAATGAAAGCATAATGTATATGTGTTTAGGACTATTTAATATATGTAGGCAAATATGTAGAGAAAACATGAATGTTAATTTTAAAATAAAGTCTCTGTCACCATATTATTTGGTGAAAACTGTCAGTTAACAGTAAGTACACTGTTCCTACAGTGGAACAAAGTAAACAAGTAAAGCAATCTGTCTAAGGAAGACTAAGCAGTATTACCTTCAAGACATTTATGATCTCATAACGCAATACAATTAAAAAGATAATACAGGCTACTGATGCATATGCTGAATTTATCCCATAGATACATTTTGCTCTTGCTGTGAATTTTTAAACTCTATTTTCAATCATTAAAAAAGATTTTGCATAGAAGATTCAAGCTGAAAAATGGAGAGAGGAGTGGACAGTGGATAGAGTCATAGTTAATGTACATGTGTACAGGAAACAAGATGGGCAAGAATGGATGGGAAGGAGTCTAGTGAAGAAGATAACACTGGTCAGAATGCATTATGCACACATGGACAGGTTAAACTGAAACCCCTTTTTACAAATTTTAGATGATAATTTTTTAAATAGACATGGATTTGCTAATAGTTGAGGCCAGACGTTATGAAAGATTCTTTTAAAAGAGCTGTTATTGACTTGTGTGGAAATAACATTAGACACTGGGATAAAACGGGATTCACATTGTATAAGGCAGCCATCTTCTGAGCTGCCATCGCTCTTCAGGGGCAGGTGTTTCCATGCAGGCTCAGAGCATCATGTACCATCTTCACACATCTAATTTCCAATCTGATATTTATCAGGTAATTAGGTGTCCACTGCAAGTTTAAAATCGAATGAATGAGTTTTCTCCCCAATCCACTTCAAATAAAACAATGAAAGAAAAGGAGAGGATTCCGTATTTATTAGATAAGGTTACATATCATCAACTCCCCTGACATAAGTTATAAAGCAACCAACCAACAGTGTACCCTCTTGAGTCTGTCATGTGTTCATTTGTTTCATTGTTTAGAATAGGGATCTTAATAGAAACAAATACAATGAGAAGGTCAGAAGAAGTTTGTGTCACTAAACAAGAATGAAGCATTGAGACCAAGATATATGATATGTGATAAAGCAAAAGGTAAACAGTTTAAGAAAAAAGTTAGTTAGGTTTTCAAGATGTTTTTAATCAGTGTCAATGGATTGTTAGCAGCAGGCAGGGAAGATATGAACAACAAGCAATTGCTACCCTAAGAGCATCTCTTCCACATACATGGTCCAGGTTTTTAATTTTTGATTGTTCTCTACTGTATTCCAGCTTGGTTTCAATCTCTAGTTAAGTCAGGATTTCTTCTTTTCTAGTCTTGTAGAAATTAGGAGCTATTAATAATTGAATAGCAGTAGAGAAAAATAAATGATTGCACATATGTACATGCATACTTAGGCTGAGATAGACTGACATCACTTAGCTATTAAAATACATCATAATTTCTAACTTGTTTGATCACTGTTGGTTTCTACTGTTGCTCCCACCAGTGTTTTTGGTATGTCCCTTTTAAAGTCATATATTTTTCATTTACTTCGTGAAATGCCCATTTGGCATTATTTTCTCTTCTCTTGTTCCTTGATCTTTTTATCTTCATTTCTCTTTGCTTCTCAGGCTGAAAGATTGGGTTAGGTTACCCACTGAGCAAGTACTAGAAAAAATATTATACCCTTAAGTTCCCAGAAGCATCAAATTAATGAACAGCTCAATGGTGAGAGAGGGGGAAAAGAAGAAGGATGAAAGCAACTAGAAATATGAAGCACTGATTATTTGTGGCCTTATGTATCAGTCTAATTCATACCTTCTGACAATCTAGAGCAATGCAATAATCACTAGGGATCCTTTAGGCTGAATCACTCTGAACAAAGGATTCTACCCCCTGATTCTGCACTCATATCACACAGCTGACTATAAAACAAAAATAAATATTTTATATCTTCAAATTCCTCTTATCCTGTGAAAATCCTTCAAACATGTGATGTTATATATCAGCTATAAATGAAATTGGGCGTGTTTTATAATGTTTACATTTAAGTTTCAAAAAACCCACTTTGGAAGCTTTTCCCCTCAGTGTGAAATATTGTCATTGTTTCTTATGTTTCTCCTCTTTTACTTCCACTCCTTTCCTTCTCTTCCTTCTGTTTCCCGAACTTCTTGTTCCTCCTTCTCCTCCTCCTTTCCCTCCCCCCTCCTCTTCTTCCTCTTGTTCTTCATCTTTATCATCTTCATTCATCTTTTTCTCCTCCTTCCTACATGATATCTGTAGGGTTTATTGGTAGAGTCAAGGTGGAATTTTTGAAATATTTTAATACTGCCTTGAATGACCCATAGAGTACTAGAGAATACACTGAAAATAACAGTAGATTTTATGTATTATGAGCTTGTTAGTTTTAAGCACTATTGCAGAGGCATGACATTAATCATCTCATTTCTTAACAATAGTTTAATGAAGTAAAATTTTTCTTAAAATTGTATTTACATAGATACATAATATACTTGATACATAATTTACATAGATACATAATTTACATAGATACATAATTTACTTGTTAATTCTACTATATATTGTACACACTTCTTCCTATGAATGAGAAAAAATGGTATAAATATGAAGAAATAACCTTGGGCATTTAGTTCTTCATCAGCTGACTGATGTAGACACTTTTCAAGCAGTTAAACAATTCAATAATGGGAAAATTTATTGATAATTATGGTGACAGTTATTTCAATCCTTTACCTCCCTGTTTTTAGTACCAGGGCAGCCACTAAACTTCAAAGCAGAACCTGAGTCTGAAACAAGCATTTTGCTCTCTTGGACACCTCCACGTTCCGACACCATCGCCAGCTATGAACTAGTCTACAAAGATGGGGAGCTTGGAGAGGAGGTGAGTGCAAGCTTCTCTCTTCACCATCTTTCAGCACATTGTTTTTGGTTTTCCTTTTTTGAGTTTACCCAAGTTCTTAGTGAGATACCTGTAGAGGAACTTTGTAGGAAAAATGTATTCAGTGATAGAAGGAATAAGTTCATTTCCAATTTACCATCTTCTAGGTAGCCTTGTGGCAATAGGTCATCCTGTGTCCTTGTTTCAGTGTGTTTGGTTATTCCCCTTCCCTTCCTCAAAATAGACAAATGTATATACAAGATGCAGGGTACCAAAATCAAATACAGTGACAACAGGTGATATATCAAAGGGGGAAGAACATGCAAAGGAAACAAAAAAAATCACATAGTACATTAAAAACAACAATAAAGAAAGACCTCTTGTGTCCATATCTTGGGGTTCATTTCACTTAGCATCATCTTATATGGTCATATATACATAGTTTTTGAACTTTTCTGCTCATCTGATAAAATTATCTTAGACGTATATTAATTATTAGAAATGAGGGAAACCATGGGACCTCTACTTCTTTGGGTCTGGCTTACTTCACTGGATATGATTTTTTTCTAAGTCTTTCCATTTCCTAACAAATGGGGTGCTGTCCTTCTTTCTGAGAGAAGCATAGAATTCCATTGTGTATATATACCAGATTTTCTTGATTTGTTCATCTACCTAGGGGCATCTGGGTTGATTCCATATCTTGGCTATGGTAAATAATGCTGCGATGAACATAGTCATACTGATGGGTTTAGTGAGGCCTTGTTTGTGGACATTTGGGTAGATTCCAAGAAGTGGGATTGCTGGGTCATAGGGGAGCTCTATGTGTAGTTTTTGTTTTGTTTTGTTTTTGAGGAACCTCCATACTGCTTTCCAGGGTGATTGAACAAGTTTGCACTCCCACCAACAATGTAGTACCATTCCCTTTTGGTCCCATCCCTGCCAGCATCTGTTGTTATAATTTCCAGGGGGGAACAGGGCAGGGGATGAGGAGTGAGGGAGGTGGGGGAGGGAAGGGATAGTGGGAGAACAACAAGGGAAGGGGTAACAATGCTTGAGAAGAAATGTACTCATTGCCTTACTCATGTAACTGTAGCCCCTCTGTACAGTATTTTTACAATAAAATAAGATTAAAAAAGAATTCTTAACAAAAGAAAAAATGAATGACAGAAATATAAAGGAAGTCTTGATGTGATTGAGGAGCTATGAAAGAGTGGAGTGAAAAGAGTGAAAGTGAATGTGGTCCAAACATATTATGGACATGTATAAAAGTGAATCAATAAACCCTGTTGGGATTGGTTAGGAAAGGTCCAGGAAGGATGAGGAAGATTGAGAGAGGGAGTGAGTCTCATCATTGTTTGCATAGATAGACATATCCAAATGAAATCCCCCTGTAAAACTAACTGGTACTAATTAAAAGCATAAGAAAATGAATGTAAAGAGCCAGCAAAACACTCGTCTACTGACAACAATTTCTAACTATGGAAAATACTATCTCTATGTCTAACTATAAAATTTCTAACTATAAAAATACTTTGAAAAGTATGTTTTTGTTTTTTATGAGCTGAAATAAACTCCTGTTCTTTGACCTACTTATGCTATGTGTACATATTCATCCAAGGGAGCATAAATGATGGTTGATTAACATGGGAATAGACAGACAGACAGACAGACAGACAGACAGACAGATAGATAGATAGATAGATAGATAGATAGATAGATAGATAGATAGATAGATAGATAGATAGATAGATAGATAGATAGATAGATAGATAGATAGGCAGCAGACTAAAGTCTCTGTTGCATTCTTGATGCATCTGGCTTTATAACTTCACAAGTTTTGAGGAAACAAGATTACTCAAAATGTTAATGTTAAGGCATTTAGGTTAGTCAAAGTTCAATATTTAATTACAAGTGGTTAAATTTCATTTGGCTAACAAAGTTAAGTGACAATGTAGTGAATATATAAAGGGAATCTATAAAGAAAGACAAATAATAAGTGCTCTGACCAGTTACAAAAATAACAGGGTTTTTTTTTTGGTTGTTGACTTTGTTGTTGTCAATGTACTGTATCTAGTTCTTTCTTTTTATTTTTATTTCATTTTGCCTTTCACATTGGTTTATTTCTAGGAATCACTGTCTTTGATATGCTGCATCTTATATATACATTTTTCTGATTTGGGGAAGGGAGGGGGAATGACAAAATACTGAACCAAGGACAAAGGATGACCCGACATGACAAAGATACTCACAAGACACTATGTTGGAAATGAACTTGACAAATTTGCAGGGGAGAGAAGGAAGAGTTAGTAGGGCAAAAATGAAGGAGTGGGTAACAATGTTTGACAAGAAAAGTTCTCATTACCTTACTCATGTAACTACTCTGTACAACATCTTTATAATAAAATAAACATTTAGCTTTAAAACAAAAGCAGAACAGCTATTTGGAGTCCTGGTGGAGGAAATGTAATACAAAGTCCATTGCATCTATTTTAACATCTTTCTAAATCAGATTTCAAAGTTGATTTAATAAAAAAAAGTATCAGACTATAGAGGAACGAATACTCTATGAGACTTAAGACTACCTGTGTTTTTCCTACATTAAAGTATTTGAGTTACTGTGAAGATACATGATTGGAAATACCTTTAGATGCTAACACTAAAATTGACTTGTAAAATGCATTTGTTTAAACTGGCTGTAAAGAAAGATGAATCACAGCAAATGTTTATTGGCATGCTAAGTATTATTTGATATGAATGTGAGTATATGTAAAATGTTAGTATTCTGTGCAAATAAAAAAAATAAGAGGAGAAATGGAAATCCGCATAATGAAATTTACATTGACACTGTTCTCAGAATTGTTCATATGTTAATCCTTTAAATCCTTATAAAAGCACAGTGAGCTAGATGCATTTATTAATCCATTTCACATGTAACAAAACAGAGGCACAGGAAAAAGATTTAATTCAACACATTTCACATCACTGGCTTGGATTTGGATCTAGGCAGGCAAGTTCCAAAGTAACTTTTTTTTTAACATTAAAATCAACTGCTTCGTTAAGTATACTTTATAGAAATATATATTAATATATAGAGAATATTGTCAGAATGGGAATGCCTTTTTAATGACTGTTTCTTTTGTCTTGATGAGACATAATAGGGGCTATTAGAACAAAAAGTGTTAGTGAAAACAATGTGTACAATTCATTTTCTTATACCTGTTTCTCTTCTGTACCCTACAAAAGATCTTCAGATTCTAAATAGTCTCTAAGTTCTAACAAAAATCACATATTAAATAAACAATATAAATTAATTCATGGCTCATCATAAGATAGAACTCAGAAGTGGCTAGTAAATAAATATGAAAATTTGAGGAGAATTGAAATCTTTTGAGTCTAATATGGATGCTAAAACGTCCCTACACCTACTATACTTCAAATTTTACTTTTTAGAATATTCTTATTTAGTGAATTTGAAATTCACCAAATAGATCTTTTATATGAACCAAATACCCTAAGAGTATTTTCTCTCATTTTATATTCAAATTCACAGTGACAGATTTATTTATATGAGTAGCAACACTGTTTTTTTAGAAAGCATTAAGATTATTTTTGACATTGTTCAAAATATATGTATATATTCACCTTAATTTTAAGGTTTACTATAGCCTAACTTTCAATTTGACATTGACTATCCAAAGACAGCTGTTTTCTTGCTAAAACAGAAAGACATATTTTAAGAATAGAACGTATGTTAACATATTCAACAAAAGAAGTGCTATTTCAGAACTCCTATATGATACTAAAAGATGTAGGAAAGTTTGTCAATTTTTCCAATGGTACATCTCTGTTTACAAATATAAAAGAAATTTTCATATTATTTTAAATGAATAAATAGGTATTTTAATAGAATTTATTCAGCTTTCTCCAGAGACATGAGTTTTATCTCATCAGGATGTAGCAGTTCCTTATGTCCTTTTCAGCAAGTCCTGGTTGCTGTTACTATATCTGGTCATTTTCTTTGCTCATTATTTAGATCATGTGAGATAAGCTAGACATCTGTTCAAACATGTTTAGTATTGTCTACAACCAGGGTACATGTCAGTTTTTCTTGTGGGCTATGTTACACAACATACATTTTATGGTATAAAATTGGTCTCTCAGGCTCCTTCTTATCTGGTACTTTTGGATAACTGTCAATGTTGGGAAGACCTCTAGCTTGTCTTATTCCAGTTACATTATTATGTTTCCACCAACATGCATTTTAAACTGATTTCTTTAAATCATCTTTGAGCAGTTGTACAAAGGAGTTGTCATTCAACAAGGTAATTTGTGAATACAGAGCATCTTGATCAACGTCACCCAACCAATCCAACCCTTCCTTCAATTTTCTTAATACTGTAGGTTATGCATTGAATTTTATGACTGTATTCTCCCCTCTTCCTCTCTTCATTCATCTAATCCCCTACCCTTGAGTTCACCCCAATCTCTTTAAGTACCTCTTTCCTGGTGTTTATTTGGTTGGACTGTGAATTAGCCTTTTTAAGGAATTACATCATTTCACTTCTCCCCCTAAATGTATCATAGTCCAGTTAATACCTTTGCTATGGTGAATAATGCTGGAATGAACATGGTTGGGAAAGTGGTCTTATAGTATACTGGTTTAATGTCTTGGCTAAATGCCCAAGAATGTAATTGCTGGATCACAGACTAATTCTATGTTTAGTTTTCATTAAGAAGTTCCACTAGTTTAGTGCTGGGTACTCACTAATGATTGTTTTTGTGATATTTTAACATTCTGGAAATGTCATATTTCAGACACCATGATTTGCATGAATCTTAAATTCTCTTCTTGCAGCAACGAGTTACCATTGAGCCAGGGACATCATACAGGCTGCAAGGGCTGAAACCAAACAGCCTTTACTATTTCCGTCTGGCTGCACGCTCTCCTCAAGGCCTGGGTGCTTCCACAACGGAAATATCAGCAAGAACCATGCAATCAAGTAGGTGTCTTTCCTTGCTTACTTGTTGCTTTATTGTTTTCCACTATGAGGCACTGTTTCTGCCTTTTATCTACACCAACAAGCCAATCTGCTAATATGCTTTTGTGTCTGTTGTCACAATGATTGTAAGCACCCCATTTTGGGGATTAGAACACAGCCATGATCTAAATTTGGTCCAGATAATAGACCTCATTTTCTTGCTTTCTAAACCGAATATCTTTCAAGTAAGTCGATAGACTTCCATAGCTGAAAATGGGTGAAAATATTGACGTCATACCCCATTTGGCCAATTATGCAGTGGAAATCACTGTAAAATAATCAGAAAAGGGAAGAAAAAAGGAAAAAAAAGACCACAAAAGTTGTAACTCACATCTAATTAAAGCACGTAGGATTTTAACTTTGGTAACTTTTTAACTTGCAAAAAACTCATCTTATATAGTTTTGTTTATTCCTACTCAAGAGTAAGCTGAGTAATTTAGGAATGGATTTGTAATAACTCTTCTAGTAGTAGAAATTTGGAATCATCCACAAACTGTATTTGGACAAGTTTAAGAACAATGTAACATGCACAAGCTCACTCACACTCCTTTACATTGCATTTTTTTTTCTTCAGGTCCAATCTCTTTTTGAAACTCTTCCTCTTAAGCATAGCTGTATTTGTGAGAATGAGAGTCCATTGTGCTCGTTTTGCATAAAGTATTATAGAGGAGATTGTGGTTGATGGAAAATTTGGTGGTTTGTAATACAGATATTTGCTCTTTAATAGAACTTATAATTAGATTATAGACAACTACTCATCTTGAAGTGTGTTATAAAGTATTTTATCTGTGATATATGCAATAGATATTAAGATCGACAGATACCAAGAGGATGGTCTGTTGAACTCATATTTAGACCAGTCAGAAAACATTAAAGTTTTGATTTTTAATTTCATATACACAATTCTTTTAATGTCTTATAGAAGCAAGAAATCTTTCAGAGATTTTTGAAGATAAAATTCATATTGTCCCCTCATGAAAACATGATTATTCATATGAAAAGTATTAGGATCCTATTGTCTAATCTATTAATGTATGCTGCTTTATTCCATGTTTCCTTTCATTTAAAAATGGAAACTATAAACTAATGCAGCCATGTATGTCTGCTTTGATTTCCAGACAGTTTAATATATGAAATATAGAAATTATTTTGTAAACTCATTAAGTTAAAAGAAATATTATATGTGTGATTTTAGGTATTATGTGGATTTCAAAAGTCTTTTCAGATAAATGCTTTCATGGATACAATGGGACCTTTTTGTAACTCTATTAGATGGGCACTTTCTATTTATTGAAGTAAACATTTCAATTATTGTTAAAAACTTCCCATAGAATGCAGGTGTAAAGGTAGCAATCTACATAAAATGAAGCCAGACTTTAAAAAGAGTTACAAGTGAGTCCTTCCTGTTATGTGAACAATTCGAATTATTGTGAATAATGATAATGCATATAAAGCAGTTTCATAATTTGAGATAGAAGAACCTTCAGTCAGATGCAATAAAATGATATTCGGGTAATTCTGCAAATCTTATTCCAAATTTGCAAGGTTTTCTGTCCTGTGAGGATTTCTTTTTCAGTTAATACAGGAGATTTTCACTTTGATTGAATGTACGGATTAACTCCAGGCACATAAATTAATAGTACGCAATAATCCTCCAAAAAATTCTAAAAACATGTCACTTAACATTAAGATTTAAGAACATCTAAGAAAAGCCTCATGACATATTCAAATGCAAAAATCGGGATTATTTTCTTGACTCTAACCATGTACGTTGACCTAGAATTATATGTGTGAGTATGTATTTGCCAAACTTAGCCTGTTTCTTGTTCTTCTTTAGAAGTATATATTTCTAACTTTAAAAACAATTCCTCAATTATATTATTCTTTATAGATTTTATTTCTTTGACATAGCGATATATATATATATATATATATATATGTATCTGGGTACTTTAAGGGATAATAATTGTTCAGAAGGTGGACAAGAAAATTCATCTAATAAATCATGCAAATCTACTTTGTATTTCCAATTATATACAAAATGAAAGATTTTGAACATAGATTATATAATTTCGATGCTTCTTGGGCTTTTTTTTTAAAGGAGGTCTTTTTAATGGCTGTTATGGACATTTTGTAAGGGGGTAGATGATTATTACTGATTTTACCAAAATTTGCTGGTGGGATCTAATTCTTTACTAGCAATGGTGTCTCAAGAAGAATTATTATTTAAAAGGCTGAAAGCTGACATAGGGTAAGTACAAGTTACAGTCAGAATCAGCAAGCCTTGACATTACCCTCGGGTAGGTAAATCTCGGACTATGCATTTTCATCCTTTACTGATTCTGCATGCTCACTGTATTTGGGCTCTGATCAATGTTAGGTTAACACTTTTCATTAAATCCAGTCAGGCATATCAGCCTTTTAGATAGGGTGAACCCTTTTATGTTTGTCGGCTTTTCCTTTTAATTTGTTAAAAATTGGAATCCATTTAGAACAAAATTATATGCATACAATATGCATATATATATACTCATAAATATATATGTATATGTCCTCAGTGTGGAATTGAGCACTAGGAATGACATCTGTAAAGCATCTATTCTGTATCTCCAGTTTTATTATTTTTTTAAAGAGGATTTTAGCAGCTTTGGGGAACTGAATTTTCAGCATACTGGGGGTGGAGATACATATGGGTTGTTTTAGGAGAAGAATTTAAATCTCAGGTAGGTAATTTTATTTGAGGCTCTATAATCTCAAGGTTTCATTTTCACATATTTCCCCCCATCCATTGTTTAACAATTATTTTTTGGTCATTTATTCATTTTTTTGGTTCACTCATGTTTACTAAGCCAAGGTACATAAATTTAATTTGAAAATTTAAGTTTCGAAGCCTTATTTTTGTTTCGTTCTCCTTAGTGTTCGTTTATTTATTTTTTGCCTTTTGTTTTATCATTTTTTTTTTCCTCTCCAACCACTCCTGTCCTTTTCACTCAAATCCTCCTTTAACTCACTACCAAAATAAGAGCCGTCAGCTCCTCCTCAAGACATTAGTTGTACCAGTCCAAGTTCCACTAGTATCTTGGTAAGTTGGCAACCTCCACCAGTGGAAAAACAGAATGGAATCATCACCGAATACTCACTCAAGTACATCGCCGTGGACGGGGAAGATGACAAGCCTCATGAGGTTTTGGGAATCCCTTCGGACACTACCAAATACCTTTTGGAACAGCTGGAAAAATGGACTGAATACCGGATCACTGTGACTGCTCACACCGATGTCGGCCCTGGCCCTGAGAGCCTGTCCATATTGATTCGAACCGATGAAGATGGTATGTTGTCTCCGCCAAGTCAGTCAGTTTTGCACCTTTCTGACACAGTCCTGATCTGCTGTCGTTTCATAGGCTTAAAAGTTAGCCATTTTTCTCTGCTCATCTTTTTGACCCAGCATTGCTGCTACTTCAGTATTTTTGCCAAGACCTGCCTGCTACATCCTGGGCAATGTTTTTAAAGATGTTTTGTTTTGGTTTTTTTTTTCCAATCTCAATGAAATATTTTTCTTCCTTTTAAGAGGATATTCTTCTCCTATGGTCTTTCAACCCAGCCTTTCTCTATGCGTCCATGTAACGTCTTCTGTGTTTTGATTTTGTTTTTGATTCCTCCCTCTCTCTTGGCTTTTTGTACTGACTTCTTTTCCATTTTGAAGTTAACTTTTCAAAACTGCCTTCTTATCTTCTTGTTGCCTTTTTCTTGCGTATGTCAGAAATACTGATGCTCGACATTTCAGTTTTTGGCATCTGTTGTATGGAATATATTTGATATGAGGAAAAAAGAGAAGATAATCCATATAATCAAGCATCTTTTTATTCTGCTATTTTACAAAAAAAAGAAACCTTTAAAACAGACACAACGATCAACAATCTGTTTTTGTTATTATTTCAGTGCAATACCTCTTTGTGCTTTAATGCTTTGAACCTCAAAGCATCTTCCTTGGCTTTTGTACATTTTTTTTACATGTTTTTCTATTTCTCTGATACTCTTTTTTTCTTCCATTTTGTTTTTTTGCATCGGTCATGTTTTTTGATCTTTTCTTAAAAGGTAGAGCAGATTGGTTGAGCATTTTCATTGGTTGAAAATGTTTGTATTCTTCGAAGGAAACATAGTGGGTCTGCTCATTTTTAAGTAAAGAACAGTGCTCTGACTGGGTGGGACACGTGCCTATAATTTTCTTTTATCCGATGATGTTGTTCCAGTTCCTAGTGGTCCTCCTCGCAAAGTCGAGGTAGAGGCTGTCAACTCAACATCTGTTAAAGTCTCATGGCGCTCACCTGTGCCCAATAAACAGCATGGCCAGATAAGAGGATACCAGGTGCATTATGTGAGGATGGAAAATGGTGAGCCCAAGGGGCAGCCCATGCTGAAGGACGTCATGCTGGCTGATGCACAGGTAAGCCTGTTCTTACAGGATAGGTTTCTCTGACTTTGTACCTGGAGACAGGTTCTAGTTTTAGCTCTTTGATATTTTAGGGGTCTACACACAATTTTGGATTTTAAAACATCAGGCTACCTAGTGACCCTCTTAATCAGAAGTGACCTCAAATAAAGAAATAACTTGGAAGGAAATGAGCACTCATCCTGATAGATAACGTATCATTTTTTTCCTAAAAGACAGATATTCACTACTCTTCTGAAAGAACAGATAATCAGCTGTAGGTCTGAGTTTGTCTTCCTAATGTCAAACAAAATGGTTGATTTAAATATATGTAAAGCAGAAAACTACAGACTGCAGTTTTGCTGATTGTGTCTGCTTTTTATAGTGCAAAAACTACTTAAACTTAGTTGATCTAATATCCAAATTCGATTTTTATTCAGGGAGGGATGCCTAGGCAGTATTTTATGTAGCATGTGGTTAGTTCATATTTGATAGAAATAATTGTTTCAGTCCCTCAATGTGAAGACAGTGACAGTAACAATAAATACTAGAGTTTCAAGAGAATAAATGGCGCTCCTTTGTGTTGGATCAAGAAAAGTGTCAATAATGAGTGCTTGAGTATGAAAATACATATTTTTCCATATTAGGGCACTGCTTCCTGTCCATGGAGCTCAAACCATTTCATTCAGTTATTTAAAACACAGCATTGATATTTTTCAATATTTTTCATAAATTAGACTGATTCAAACTAGGACCCCAAATTTATTTATATTCCACATATTTTTTTCTTTTTTCACATATTTTTCTTAAAGGAAGAGGATTTCAAATTGTAATTTCCATGCTGGAAATTTATATGGCCTAAAGACTAATATTATCAAATAGTGATGCCAATAATATGGCAATGAACACTATTGAAAGTAATTTGCCTAACCAGAAAATTGATGTATTTTATTTCCTTCCAAATTTGGGTTGACAAAAATACATTAAATTTCAACTCTATCATTTTTAATCCCTCTTCTATTTTAGCTTTTATTTATCAAGTGCATCTTTCTTTGGGGGATGCATCTCCTTTATTCTTTTGACTATTCATTAAAAGTTCCTTGCCTCTAACAGATCTTCATTGGGGCTAAATAATTGAGTATAATGAAAGACATGAATCCAAAGCATTGCTTGAATTAACCCTGAAAGAATGAAAAATATTTTTGTGAAGTAAGATATGATTTAGAACATTTTATCTTTACTATGCCTTATTGATTCACTGAACTGAACCATTAAAAAATACAAGAGTCTGCAAGTGTGGTTGAGTGGTAGAGTACTTGCATTATATGGAAAAGGCCCTGGGTTCAATCCCCAGTACCACCCCAAATAAAAACAATCAGACAAACTAACACAAGCTGATTTTACTACTAGCAATAACACAGCATATGAAATTAGAACTTGCAGTTGGAAGTGAGGGCTACAACATAGTAACACACGGATGCACTTTGGAATCTTATTGTATACACTATTTCATTCATTTAACTTTCTTATTTTAAATCAAAGGAGGGCAGCATTGCCTTTAGGAGGCTATAAGTTTATCTTTATTTCTTTTTATTTTGTTTCCCCTCAACTTTCTTAACCTCACTCAGTGGGAATTTGATGATACTACTGAACATGTGAGTAATTTTTGACTGCTTGGTCAAAAAACAGACTATATATGCTTGTTTTCTGATAATTTTTCTCACTTATTCATGATCTGTCATCACATTTGCTTGGATGCATGGACTAACAAACCATGTTTTAGTTCTTGTCACTACATGTGCACTCTTTCATGTGTGAAATCAGCATGGTGCCACTAGTTACATAAGAAAGATTTGGGATGTTTGATTTCTACTACTAACTCTGACTTTTGACACAGACAGAGGAAGCATGCTGTAAATGAATGTTTGATGTAGCTTGCTCATAATCCCCACAATTGAGTTATATATTCATTGGGTTACATGACATCGATCTAGTTCTGACTCTATATACAAGAGGCCACACTGTTGTGCCCATAAAAATTTATAAGAAAATAAATAGATTTGCTCAGAAATTGAAGTAATCTCACTGAAGAAAGAATGCTTTTTTAAAATATTATATTTGGAAGGTAGTGAATTATACTGATTGAGTGTATACTGTATGTAAAATATTGTAGGGATACCTGTTCATAGACTAGATGATTAGGAATATGTAAATTCAGGGAAAGTTTTGTAAGAATTTCGAAAGAAATGACTTACAATAAGGTGCAATGCATTATGAACTGAGTAATGATAACAATAGGAGCTATAAATTCAGAGAGTGGACCAGGATGTTAGATAGTAGTAGACTGGATGTTCTTATGTGAGCTCAAGGATCTAAGGCCTAAGTAGAGATTGTGTCAGTGAACGTGTGTGTGTGTGTGTGTGTGTGTGTGTGTGTGTGTGTGATATGGAGGTGATAATACATTTTAAGACATTTCTGCAAGCGCAAACAGTCCTGGAGGCAGTGGAGACTACTGATGTATAACTGAGTGACAGTGGACTTACCAATTTGACATAGTGAAAACTTGCAAATTACTGATAAATAGTGCAATGTGGTAAACCATAATGTTGTCAGTAGTTCAGCTGTCAAGATGAAGAGCTAGGGGTCTTTAAATCTTCAGTCCTAGAGAGAGAAAAAAAAGTAATTAAAATGGCAAAGCATTTCAGAGAAGGTTTTCTTTCATTCTGTATATAAATATTTACTGCATAAGCACAAGCATTCTTGCCTGGGGATCTTGTAAAAAAATGTACAGAGTAGCACTTCTCATGGAATTGAAAATAATGCAGTATTTCACAAACTTCTTTGACCATGACCAATAATAGGAAATACACTTATGTTGTAATGCAGTGCATACATATGTTTAACTGGAATAAAAATATTTTAAATTGTACTTCTACCATTAAATATATGATAAACTCATTTAAAATATTGTATGCAAGTCTATTCCTTTTTTTCTCATCTTGTTTAAGCACTAGTCCTAACTGATTAGATTTATGTAATGATGTACTAAATGGGTCACTACCTGCAGCTTAAAACCAATGATGACTTAGTAGAAAATTTGAAAATAAAAAGATAAAATATACAAAAGCAAGGAAAATAAGTTTACTAGTTCCTTCACGTAGTGATCAGAATACAATAAACTTTAAGACAACAGAAATGACAGCGTGACAAGTAGGATCAATTATTTTAATGGAAGAATTGACAAGACCTTACTCAGAACTTGAGGAAGTAAAAGAGGTCAATAACAGCTCATAAATTTTAATGATTCATTACCATTCATTAAAATATGTAAGTGAAGAAGGAAAGGGGAATGTATTCCTGAAATTACTGATACATTTTTGTTAAATTGAACTTGAGATAAGCATGGGCATACTCACAGAGAATTTTCCAGCACATATTTTACAACACATAAGTGACTGGAGCACAGAGGGGAAGGGTGGGTTGAAAATAAATTCAGCAAATAGACAGATATTATTACTCTAGCTTATGACTTCAGCTTTTCTCTGTAGGACTAGAGAGAAATGTAGCAGCCCAGGACTGTGACAGTGCCTGAGCAGTGCCAACATTCAACAGGCAGTAGTGGGAATGGAGGTGGGACAGGAGGAAACAGGAAGCTTGAAGAACTGTGATCATTTCGTTAGATATGCCACTTCACCGAGGATCCCGAAACCACCATACAAGGGAAGAAAATATAGCTCAGAGGCTTGTGACTCAAGCCTTTAATCCCAGCTACTCAGAGATCTGAGGATCATGGTTTCAAAGCCAGTCCCTGCAGTCTGTGAAATTCCTATATCCATTACCAAAAGAGCCAAAAATGGAGATGTGGCCCAAGTGTAGAGTGCTACTCTTGAGTACAGAGCTCAGAAACAGATCGCAGACCCTGAGTGAAAGCTTCAAGATTGGCACAAATAAAAAACGAAAGAAAGAAAAAGAAAAGATAGCCTAGAAGACAAAATGATCATGGCAAATAGAGAAGGTACATCTAGCTGAGACTACACTCTTACCCAGGACTGGACCAGTTTAAAATCATATTCCATAAGAAATCCAGTGGAGACCTGGGAAAAGTAAGGCAATGTGTGACTCACCCAATTTTATGAATGGCAAACTTAAAGAAGGTTCTAAGTGTGTAGAGTTCTTGCCACATAACATATTAATAGAACTGAGACCTTTGTCCTGTATATAAGTTTATCTGATTGGGGGAAGGGAAAGAGAATCACAAAAAGGAAGGGACAAAGGGTGAATCAGTGCTCCAGTGATACTCAGTAGACACTGTGCTGGAAATGAACTTTACAACTTAGCAAGAAGGATGTGTACGGGGTAGTGGAAAAAATGAAGGAAGGAATAACAACACTGGTCAAAAAGAAATGTACTCATTACCTTACTTCTATAACTGTAACTCGTCTGTAACTCACCTTTCTAATAATTTTTTATTGTGAAAATATCGTATAGAGGGGTTACAATTACATGGGCAAGATAATGAGTACATTTCTTATCAAGCATTGTTGCCTCCTCCTTTGCGTCTGACCCTTTCTTGTTTTACCTGCTAGAGTGTCTTGCCTTTGGAAAGTAATCTAATGACACATTGGAATGAGATTGCTACCCACTCTAATTGTGAAAAGGGCCACTATATTTCTCATAATTTGAAACACTGATCTCAGGTGGTTTATGTTGTTTCCATGTACTCTGTCATGTTAGTGAAACTATTAGAAGGTCTTAAAAATAAAATATTTTTCTCAAATAGTCCATTTATCTGACAGAACAGAAATATCTAATGGCTGTTTAAGATGGTACCTGAAATGCTTCACTTTCCACAATGATGATATTACTATTCCTTTGAGAAACACCTTGTCAAAAACTGTCACATTTGAGATTAGATTCGACAAATGAATTCTAAGGAACCTGTATATAACATTGTTAAGGAAAGTCACAGATATTTTCCACATCATCCAATGAGTTAATAGTCACTCATACTTCCTTTAGATTGAGAAGATACTGGCACTGAATATTTTCCAAAATATTTACAAACTCACTTTATAAACATAGCTATGCGAGCATAGGAAATAGTTCTTTTATTACTGTGTGTGTGTGTGTGTGTGTGTGTGTGTGTGTGAACTTTAAAGGATATAGCAGAAAAGTCAATAACTACAACTTTATCTAAAAGTCCATATAATCTAATCTGCTTTAGTTCAATGATCATCTGGATTTTTTTTTTTTGGTCTGTCGTGGGGCTTGAACTCTGGGCTTGGGTGCTGTACCTGAGCTCTTCAGCTCAAGGTGAGAGCTCTACCACTTGAGCCACAGCAGCACTTCAAGTTTTCTAGTGGTTTATTGGAGATAAGAGTCTCACGGACTTTCCTGTCTAGACTGGCTTTGAACTGTGATCTCAGATCTCATCCTTCTAAGTAGCTAGGATTACAGGCGTGAGAGACTGGCACCTGGCTGGTCAGCTGGTCTTACAGCCATCACAACTCTGGGCCTTTATTAACAGGAAACTAAGCAACCTGTTATATAATTTAAAATTGTATTTTTAAAATAGAGTTGATTAAATGCATGTCAGTGTCAGTAGATGTCTAGTCCTATTATATTCTTGGTTTTATTTCCTGTTCTCTAAATTGCAGAAGATTCTCTTTTAATATTTGACTTTTTACAAAAAAATCTAACATGTATAATTAATTAGTAATAAGTTCCAGGAGTCTTAGAAAAGTTTGCTAGCTCTCAGATATCTGTGTCCAACAGATCAACCATCCAGCTGTCGAACTACTTCCCTGGTGAGAGAACAGATTATAAGTGGATGCCCACTCGATCATCAGTCTAAGGGCTGGGCTGCTGTAGGTGTATATGAGTGGGTGTTGACACAAAATATCAACTAACTTTTATAATCTTCACTAGAGCCTGACACAGTTCTAAGAGTTTATCTGATAAAAATTTTACCTTTATTACCTCTCTCTATTCTAGTAATCCAACTTTCAGAACCACTTGCCTGAATTAGTTAGGGAGAAAGGTAGATTGAGATTCATGACAAATGGATTTAAATTCATTCAATCTGGCTCCAGATTGGTTTTCTAAATGCTAAAACTGCTCCTTAGAATGCCTGAAGACCCGAGTTTAATGTTAACCTAGAAACAGGTACCCATGGCATGAGCTCCAAGGCATGAAACTTCCAGTGCTTGGCATGGCTTCAGGGAATGTTCAAGCATGCACAGAATGAAGCTGGAAGGCTCTGTTTGTCCATTAGGGTGTTTTATGCCCTGTTTTGAATCCTTTTTATTCTATTGTGTCATTTCAGGACATGATCATTTCTGGGCTACAGCCTGAAACTTCATACTCTCTCACTGTCACAGCCTATACCACCAAAGGAGATGGTGCTCGAAGCAAGCCCAAACTGGTGTCCACCACTGGGGCAGGTAATATCTGCTTTGCGTATTAGAACTAACTTTCCAAGAGGTACAGGAAGATTCTGTCATTCTTTCATTATGATAAAATGGAAGGGAATAGATTGTGTATAGTTTTCATAGATTTTTTTTTAGTTCAAGATAAAAAGAGAACTTAGGAAAGAATTATTGCACATATAGACTGTGCGAATTGTTTATTTTGTTCAGCAGATATTTTTATACCTATGTATAAGGCACCATCCTTGCCTTCTAAAGAAGTCAAATTGTACCAAAGATAAAAAGATAAAGGAAAAAAACAGTATCAATAAGGCTAAATTGTATAAAATGGTCCTTTTCTGAAGAACAAAGCCTCTTCAGTGCTCTTTAAAGTGAAGTTGTTTAGCTACATTAGGAAAAGCCAGCGTGAAGGAAGATCTAGCATTGTAAACTGATAAATTAAGAGATAATTACCAAAGGATTTTCCTGCAATCTTTTCCTATAGCAATCTCCTATGGAACACTTATGCTATGATTTGATTTACTCCTGGTGAATTGCTTCTCATACCACTTTTTAGAAATACACCTCTATGTAAAGGCATAAAGCAATGAACAGCTGTGATGTTGAGTGCCCTCCTGGGTGCTATGCTCACTGCCAAATTTGTCTAAATGTCATAAGATTTGCCTCGCTCACATCCTGCCACCTGGAACTGCCACAAGCAGCCAGATTACAGATGGCAAAACTCTGTCAACATAGTCTTGCGGTGTTTTTTTTCCTTCCTTTCTTTCCTTTCCTCCTTATTTCCTCCTTCCCTTCCTTCCCTCCCTCCTCCTTCCCTCCTTCTCTCCTTCCTTCCTTCCTTCCTTTTTTCCTTCCTTCCTTCCTTCCTTTTCTTTCTTTCTTCTTTCCTTCTGTGTAAATTTCTGCTTTGAGCATTGGATCTAACTTTCCAAGAAGTACAATAGGAGTCTGTCATTTTTCTCTTATGGTAAAATAAAAGGGAATCCTTCTTTCCTTCATTCCTTCCTTCTCCCTTCCTTCCTTCCTTTTCCCTCTCTTCTTCCCTCCTTCCTTTCTTCCACTTTTCTTCCCACCATTCCTTCCTTCTTTACTCCTTGAGTAGCAGAAGGTAGTAGAACAGAGCTGATTCTGATTTCTAGAAAATGATCTGGACTCATGATCCAAGGCCAAATTGTACAAGCAGAGAGCATTTGGGCTCTTAAATCTAACTTTAAAAAAGTCAGTAATTTCTGTAGTTAGGGAAAAGTAGCTCATGATAATGAAATGTTTAATATTTTGATTACTAATGGTATTAACAGAATAAAAAATTACACTGACTTTACATGTACTTCTTTTAATAAGTTATAACAACATTATAAGATTTTCTTGATGTAATTTCCATTCAATAGATGAAGAGCTTTGTAAATATGTATGCATGGTAAAGTTAGAAAAGAAGTGCAAATTGGGTTCATAGTAATTCAAGGCAACGTTATTTTCTAGCTATTTTTTAACTTTTAAGCTGCATGACATTAATTTTTAGGCCATGGATTCGATAGAATTGCTCTAACAAAATTGGTATAACAGTTTTCTCATTTGTTCTGCAACTGACCTCAGAGCAGTTTGCTACCTCTGTAGGCATCATTTTCCTATTAAAGTGGAAATGATAATAAATAATTATAGCACTGTGTGAGGCTGAGGAATTTAAATCAAATGAGATACAACATGTAATGTTCTCTTTGTAGTATATGACACTAAGGCACATAACAATTAAACATTATAGTTTTAATCTGTACCTCCTTGGCTAATCTCCCCAAATGATTCATTTGTATGTGGTGGGCATGAACCTTTATGCACAATGGTTGAAATTTTTGGACCTTTTAAATTGCTATTTCAATGATCATAACTCTTTTCATCCATGATCAAATTCTAGTATCCCAGCCACCAATAATAAAGTGAGAGGAAGATGATATTTACACATTTGTATGTAGGCCAAGAATTGTTTTCTTTGGAAGATAATAGGATGGGAATATGAGTAGCGTGGGTTCTCATTTGGCAGTGACTGCAACATGTACATCCCTCCTGGTTGCTCTCACCACTCCATCCTTTGTGCTCCAGTTCCAGGAAAACCCCGGCTAGTAATTAACCACACTCAGATGAATACTGCTCTCATTCAGTGGCACCCCCCCGTGGACACCTTTGGACCCCTTCAGGGCTACCGTCTAAAGTTTGGCCGCAAAGATATGGAACCACTCACTACTCTGGAGTTCTCAGAAAAAGAAGATCACTTTACAGCTACAGACATCCACAAGGGAGCATCTTATGTCTTCAGGCTCTCCGCCAGAAATAAAGTGGGCTTTGGGGAGGAGATGGTGAAAGAAATCACTGTTCCCGAAGAAATACCAACTGGATTCCCTCAAAACCTCCACTCAGAAGGCACCACTTCAACCTCTGTCCAGTTATCTTGGCAGCCACCTGTCCTGGCAGAGCGAAATGGCATTATCACCAAGTATACTCTTCTATATAGGGATATCAACATCCCCCTTCACCCATTGGAGCAACTTCTTGTTCCAGCTGACACTTCTATGACACTCACTGGCTTAAAACCCGATACCACATATGATGTAAAAGTACGTGCTCACACGAGCAAAGGGCCCGGGCCATATAGTCCCAGTGTCCAGTTCAGGACACTGCCTGTGGATCAAGGTAGGATTTGTCTGCTTCTGGCCTTTCTCCCTTAAAGGAATGTCAGTCTTTGGAAATCAGTATTTTGAAGCTATAAATAACTGATCGGCCCATTCATATTAATAGGTTTCAGCAAAAACCAACAGGTAAAGTATGGAAAGCTTAATATATTTTGGACACCTTAGATTTCAGTTACTGAAGGTCAAGCAAGTCTGGCTGACAGCTCCCAATGTAAGGTAAGGAAAATACAATAGAGATGACTAAGTTTTAGGGAAAGGAGCTTTAGGGTAAAGAGCTTTATGAGAATGAGTGTTAAAATGATTGCTGTGAACAGGTAGGAAAGACACAATTTTTTTCCTTTCTTTCTCTCTCTCTTGCTCTCACTCTCACGCTCTCTTCCTCTCTTTCTGTCACTATCTCTGTCTCTCTCTTTCTCCGATGAAGTAGACAGCATCTAGAGCAAACCCCATGATACATGGTGGAAAAAGAGAGGTCCTATGTTCTTAGGAATAGTTTAAATACACTGTTTTTCCTTTTCCAGCAGTGTTTGCAAAAAATTTTCATGTCAAAGCAGTAATGAAGACTTCTGTGTTGCTGTCTTGGGAGATTCCAGAGAATTATAATTCTGCCATGCCTTTCAAAGTAAGTTGTCCTCTAATTCGTAAAATTTTAGTAGTAAAGGAAGAATGGGCAGTTCATGAGGGTGTTCGTTTCAAAGCATGCAATTATACACATCTGTATACAAGTACATGCATGAGGATGTGATTTAGTGATAGAGCACTTGGCTAGTGTATTTCAGGCCCTGTATTCCATTCCTAAGAACATACACAGATTTCCTTTGGAAATTTGTATGTGCTGATCTCATTTGTGTCTTTCATAAGAGATTGTGTTTGGTGCTTGGGCAGAATTACCTTAGTACTATCAAGAAGATAAGCCGGGTGAAATAGTTCACACTTAACATCCTACCTATTTGACATGTGGAGATTGGGAGGATCACTGTCCAAGATAGCTAAAAAAAAAAAGAGACCTCTTCATAAAATAAGTAAAGCAAAAAGGAATAGGGACATGGCCCCAGTCGTAGACTGCCAATCTAGCAAATGTCAGTCCCATGTTTTTCAATCCCCAATACTGTCAAAAAGAAAAAAAAATGGAGGCAGAATGATTATTTTTACTTTTTAAAAAATTATTATCTTTAAGTAGTTGCATAAAGGATTTGCCATTCAACAAAGCAGTTTACAAACACAGTGTATCTTGGTTCACATCACCCCTTTCATTATTCTTTCTCCCTACCCACCCTTTCCTTCACTCTTCTGAATTTTGTCAGATAGATAATGGATTCTTGACTGCATTTTCCTCTTCTCTTCTTCAATGATCTACCCCTTTCTTCTTGATGCTACCCCACCCCTTTCAAGTACGAACTGCCTGGCATTTTATTTTGCTGAACTTTAATTTTTTTAAGGAATTACCCTATTTGAGATCTCCCTGGAATCTACCATATTTCAGTTAAGACACTGGTATATACTGCATAACACCCAATGTTCTTACTTAAGAGTTTAGAAGTTAAATCTAGTGTCTACATTTAAAGGAATACGAGCATCCTTTAAATCTCTGGGCCTGACTTACTTCACTTAACAAGATTTTTTCCAAGTCTTTCCATTTCTTTACAAATTGTACTATATATTTTGAATTGATGGGTAAGATTCTATTGTGTTTATATGTGTACCACATTTTTTTGATCCACTCATCCATGGAGAGGCATCTGCTTGGCTGATTCTATATCTTGACTATGTTCAACTAAACATGGTTGTGCTTGTGGCTTTACTACAGTAAAGATTTGTAATCCTTAGTGGTGTTTTGAAGTAGGAGCTTAAAACTAGTGTTGGTATTACTTATAGAGCACCTATACTTTGAAACTGAACTTTTAACATTTGACTAGGATTTTGTTTCCACCAGAGAATGAAATTGACATGAGTTTTACTTATTTATAATGTAATATTTGAAGAGTTTTCAAATTTGTTTCTTGGTTTAAATCCTTGATACCTTCTAAACTCTGCTTATCATTGTAAACAAGGAATACATATTTGTGAAATCAGAAGTAGAAAGAGATTTTGGAAAGTGAAAATAAATTTAGAACAGTATTGAAATATTTAGGGGGAAAATGATGTGTATAATATGTTGAGATCTTAGAGCATTTCTGCACACATTCTATTAAGAAAACATTGAACTAGTAGCTCAAATATTGAGAAATATTACTGCACATTTCTTTGTGGCATATTTTGATAGACTTAGAAACATATCATAATAGTAAAACTGACAGGAAAATTGAAGCAATCTCTAGTATTATGAATACTTATGAGCTCAGGAATTGCCACAAATTACAATTGGCCTGGCATACATGTCCAAGAATTTAGTGAACCTTGATTTCTAAAAGCATAAGTTTTTTCTCTGTCTGATAAGCATACTTGCTGGGTTGTGTGCCTATAGATTCTTTATGACGATGGGAAAATGGTAGAAGAAGTTGATGGCCGAGCCACACAGAAGTTAATTGTCAACCTAAAGCCTGAGAAGTCCTATTCCTTTGTGCTAACAAATCGTGGGAACAGTGCTGGTGGTCTGCAGCACAGGGTAACCGCCAAGACTGCACCAGATGTTCTGCGCACCAAACCTGCCTTCATTGGAAAGACCAACTTGGATGGAATGATTACTGTGCAACTTCCTGAAGTTCCTGCAAATGAAAACATAAAGTAAGTTGATTGAAAGGTGAAGAATGAAGGACAGCACCTGTGGGTAAAAGAAGATAGTTACATCCCACTGTTATGGTGGTTAGAAAAGAATAGATTGCTGAGTGCAAAGTGAAGGATTTGTCTGTACAGACACACATTCTTGCTACCTAAGTGCTACTGCATGGCCTTCTGGTGTTGATTAGACACAGAATTTCATTAATTTAATATGAAGGGCTTTTATTAATAGCAAGAACACATACTTGTTACTCATGGGGAGATAGACAAATAGAGCACATTCCCTACTGCAAAGTTATTTATGGCATAGTATATGAAAGAGGCCTAGTTGATTCATATTTGGAAAATTAATATCATAGTTATGAGGAAGTATTATAAAGTACTGCAAGACTAAATGAAACTTTGCAAAATGACATAATCCAAAACAATATGAAATAGGTATACTTAGTGCATTATACAACCAATAGAATTTTAAAAGTATACTTGCTAAAATATAGTAAGAATGAGTACTGTAGCAGACTGAATAAAACCACATGTGGTTACTGCCTTCATTGAGCTTACCATGGTACTGGTGATATCAAGAAGTAGATAAATATAAGAGATGTCAATGGTAGAGTTATGATTTTTCTTAATAGTAGACAGTCCCGGATGGGATAAGGCCAAGAAAGTATTGACCATATCTTGAAGGACAAATAGGAAGCCTATATAAAAAAAGCGTAAGAAGATTATATACAAAGAAAACTGTCTATGTAAAAGTCTTTTAGTAAAAACAGTAAGTGGTGCCATTTGCTTGAAACCCTGTGTGCCTGGAAAAGATGAGAGGAAGATAGGGGTCAGACCAGAGTCACATTTTGCTCTAAGGCTCTCTAGACAGCAGAAATGTTAATTCAGGAAAGTGGCACAATATCATTTGTATAATACCAAAGTTTTATATCCTCTATTTTAGGAACTAACATAGAGTGAATAGTAAAAAAAAAGGTTGTTGGAAAAACAAAAATTTGTTGACTGTTGAGTCCTGATAAATAAGATCTTAAAGTAAGACAATGCTAGTAAACATAGCAGAAATACCCAGTAGATGTGGGCATGCACCTGTTATTTCAGCAATAACAGAAAACATAAAAGTAAGTAAATAAGGGCTGAGGCACATGCTCAGGTGGGAAACAAGTCCCTAGCCAAGAAAAAAGAACACAGTGAAAAATAGGACTGGAGGTGCAATTCATTAGTATGGTGCCAGGCTAACAAATGTAAGGTGCTGAATCAAAACAGCCAGTTACTACCAAAAATTGAAAAGAATCACCATGTCTTCTAAAACATAAAGGAGATGAAGGGGATAAATCAAGTATTACAAAGTAAACTCATACATTAAAAACATAAATGGAGAACAATTAAGGAACAAGTAATCAATCTAACTACTTTACACTGAGTCATAATCAATCCTTTCTGGACAAACTTTCAGCTGTTATTTATTTGTTTAAAAATGGTAGCTGATTTCAACATAGTAACAGAATTTCCAATAGATTATTACTAAAATAAACTGAGATCATGTTTTCAGTTTTTACAGCTTTTATTTCTCAGTCAGTGAACTGAAAATGAGAATGGATTAAATACCAGTAAAATTTTTATCCTAGCAAAACGTAGTATGCAAGTATTTTCCTATTTATCCCTTTGTTCTGTGCAGTTTTCTTGGTACTGACAGGTAAAACATATATATATATATATATATATATATATATATATATATATAAACAACACTTCAGAGAGAGAAAATTATATATATATATATATATATATAAACAACACTTCAGAGAGAGAAAATTATATATATATATGTTTTGCTCAATCTACTTTATTGAGGTATAATCGATAGATAAAAGCCACATGTGTTTAATGTATAGATCTCAACTTGTTGCATCCTAAGTATTTACCTATGAAACCATCATGGATACCAAAGGCATATCAGATATTTTTCCCCACCTATTCTGGGGCCAGGCTATGTTACAGGGATTTTACAGGGATTCAGTGAGAGAGTGCATCTTTATTACTACCCATGTAGACTGCAGTTCCTTGGGGAATTCGGTCAAGAGAAAAGACATGCAGCAACTGAGACCTGTGACACACAAGTTAAGACAGATAAGGAAAGCCTCATTATGTGTCATAGACTGGGCTCTCCTAATCCACTAGTGTCTCACATTAGGGATTCTGGAGAAGGTAGCAGCTGAGGTATAGAATTCTACATGCCTGGGTTGATGTTTTGATGAATTCCTACATTGTGTAATATTAAAATCAGGTTAAGCATATTAATCGCCTCAAAGATCTATCACTTTATTTATGGTGGAACAATTTAAATCATGTCTCTAACTTTCTTAAATAAATAGTATAATATTGTGAAGTTAAAAAAATGACAAGAAGTTTCTGGGCTCTAGGAGTGGGAAGAAGACAACACTTCAGAGAGAGAAAATGATAGAGTTAAAGGGGAGACTAATGCTTGTTCTTTGTATGTGGCTTGCTAACCTGTTCACACTTTTCAACTACTAGCCAATAAACCACACACACACATGCACACGCACACACATGTGTGCATGCACACACGCACTCAGGCACACCACTACTACTACCGTCATCACCACCACCACACACATATTGCAGATAGCATTTTTAGCACTCTTTCTGTGAGGAGAAAAATGACTGACATGAAGTCCTATATTATAATGGGAAACAGAAAATAGATGGCATGAATGCAATGGAGTAAATATTGCCAGGAACTGTAGAAACATAAAGTGAAGTTTGAGTCCTACCTGGGTGTGAGGGGAGGTATTGTAAAAGTGCTCATTTCTGATTTGAATCTTGAAGGGTGCAGAAGTTTGGGGAAAGATGAAATATTTAGGAAAGAACAAAGAAAGTAAATACATTATAAATCCAACCCATTAATATAAAAAAATTAAAAATCATGCCTTTTCTTGAAAGCAAAGCACTTGGAAGATGAAGGGAGTACAGGATATACAGTAACATGACTAGTTAATACAATGTTCATTACTTTCCTTAATTTATATAAATGCTGATCTATAAAGGGAAATGATTAAAACCTCTTTTGGTAAAGGGGCTTAGACCTTTCTGAAAACTGATCTACTGGCGGTAAACTGTAGTTTCCTATTCCAGTTCTAAATGAATTGATAAAATATTGGAGGATACATTCCACCTTTAAAGGTTGTACTTTGCTTTTTCAATTGTTCTCTTTATCATCTAATTTTTCCTTCTATACTTGAAATGAGAGTCTGAACAAGTAGAGAAAACTTCGGTAACAAGAAGGAGACCCCATATAAATAAGAAAAAGAAAGCCAAGTATTGTGAAAAAAAGCATCTCATAGGAATAAATTAAAGATTTTTCCTAGCCTTTTGAGGAAAAAAAAAGAATAAAAATTCAATTACATAAGTCCTTGAGTCCACAAAGCAACAGAAATCATAGCAAATAAAAAAAATTCTGAGCTGAACACCAGTGGTTTGTGTGTATCTTCCTAGCTACTCATAAAGCCAAGGTCAGAAAATACATCTTTGATAGTTCATCTCCAAAAATCCAGCAAAAATCCAGGCAGGAGGGATGGCTTAAGTATGGGGTAGAAGCCATGAACAAGAAAGCCCATAAAGTACAAGGTCCTGAGTTCAAACTCTGGTCCTGGCAAAAAATAAAAGAAAGAAAAATGAAAAAGAAAAGGAACTCTGTTTTTTAAAATTGATATACTAATAGTAATATAAATTTATATTATAAATATAAAGATGTACTTAGAATTAATAAATAGATGTATTATCTATATCAAGATATATCATTTTCAGTAGTTGGAAAGTTTAAGAAATTGAGAGGACAATAACTTTTTGTTCAATATTCTATGTGTTTTTTTTTTCTTTTTTTGCTTATGTGGTGCTGAGTAATCGAACCCAGGGCCTCAGGCATGCAAGGCAAGCGCTCTACCACTGAGCCACCTTCCCAGCCCTGTTCAATATTCTATGGAGGAAGGAAGGAAGGAAATGGAACTTATTCTGTAACTGTGGACAAGTAACTTTACTTGTTTGTATCAAAACTAGCTGGGAAAAAAAGTATTCCCTGCTTGTTCCTGTTCATTTTCTAGCATAATAGAATATTGGTGATATAAGGTTATTTGTTTATCAACCGAAGCCATGTTTTTTCATTCCCAGCCAAGTTGATTGTGAGGTCTTAATTTGTAGTTCTGGTACCTCAACACAGGTGAAGAGGACAATTTCTTATACATTTATTGAAGACATATCTCCTTGCTCCTCTTTTCATCCTTGCTTGATCTTTATACTTTCTTGTATACAGAAATAAAGGAATTTTTCCTAGTTCCTAAACTTCTTCTGAAAGTACCTTTAAAAAAAGAATACATTGGAGTACTACCAGGCAATTTTAGTGCTTCAACTTACTTTTTACAATACAGTTAAGAGACAGAAGGTCCATCAAAAAGTGTAGCTCCACCAACCATCATTCTTCAGGGGTGAGTGTAATGACAGCGGGAACTTCTGAAACTTTGTTGAAGTGAATTTTACTCTATGAGGTTACAAAAAATGGTACACAGATTATACATTTAGAAAGAACAAACAGATGGTACCAGTTTGTCAGTTCAGGTAGGGAAATCTTTAATTTTGATAAGTACCTGACAATTGAGTGAAAATAATATAAGACTTTGCTGTAAGCCTTATGATGAAACTTTTGGGATAGGGAAACTCTTCGTCCCATTGACAGGTGAGTAAAATGAGATGCAGAGATGCTACAGTCATATAGCTGGCATTAGTAATAATTAATTCTGGGAGTAGGCAATAGTCGTATTCAGACCTTGTACACATACAAATGATGACATTCTTAAAACACAGTCTTTCTCATCTCATTCTCAAGGAAGTTAAAAGTTGAACTAACTATCTTCACCATAAAACAGCAGAAACAGGGAAGAAAGATCTGAATGTAAACTTTGTAGCTTCAGCTATCACATTCTAAACTACAA